CTTCCTTCCCCTCATTGTTGTTACTGTATTTAGTACATTTTTAGACTTTTGTTGTATTCAGACCTTGATAGTTGTTCATGACTAGTGACACCTCGATGTCGGGCTGGTATTTTATTCAGCACTGTTATTCCAGGATTTTATTATGAAACATTGTTTAATTTAAAGACGTAAAAATGACTCTTAATGCTTAAAGGGTTAAGGTGAGTGTTGTGTCGGTTGGCCTTGTCTTCACGAAAGGCGCCATCACGACCGGGCCGGTTTGGGGTCGTGACATTACTGTACAACCTCATATAGTTGAATGTCCTCTACTCTTCCTTTTCGTTTTAAGTGTGCTGAAACATCAAATAAAGTGGAACATCTGCGAGGGTTTATTGTACTTAAGTGTTAATTCTACCATACTGAGCCTTATTCCACCAAGAACTTTGTTATAATAGAATTTCCTATGATCCCTACCTGAAGAACTAAATAATCAAAATTTTAACTCCGTCTGTATTTTAGTTATACTACAATACAGCCAGTCCCAAGCCCCGATAAAGGAGAAAGGTTTATTAATCCACAATCAAAATTTTGTGATTAAGTATTCATCCATTTGAAATTATCCTTTTCCTTTAAAGTTCTACAAATTTCATAGGCTATCTATCCGTTTTTTGGTTTGTTTGATTCATTTTGGAGCTTGAGACGACCTGATACATGTAATCCTTCAATACTTGAACAAACAAACTTTTAGTGTTCTTAGTTCTGTAATGTTGTCCACACTATGTTATTAATTTTATTCTAGTGGTGCTAGTGCTGTATGGTGGGCCGGGATGGGACCGGGACCGGACCAGGCCAGCGGTCCTAACGGGGAAAACGGGTCTGGCGGGCCGGTCTTGGCGGGCCGGTCCTTAATGGTGCAAAAAGCCTGGGGCGGGGCGGGTATGATAAAATAGCCCACGAGCCTGGGACCGCTAAGCCCGGGACCGGATGGCGGGCCTGGGCCGGTCTTACCGGGCCTAACGGCTACTTTTTTTAAAAAAAAAATTGTTTTAAAAAATAGCAACGGTCAAAAATTTAAAAAGTAGCCGTTGGGCTGCAATTTTGACCGTTTGGAACTTTCAAAAATAGCCATTTGGCCCCCAAACTTTATTTTAACCCCAAACTTTATATAATTACACTTTTTTTCAATTCTCAACTATAAATACCCCCTCATTCTTTCCTTTTTACTCACCAATTCATCAATCTCTCTCAATCTCTCTCAAGCTCTCTACTATAATTGCTTATTTTATTGTTGAAATTTCGNTTTTTTTATTCAAACCGTAGAAGTAGACTTAGAGATTATTTTTAAAAATGTGATGAATATGGCCTTAGAGAAAGAAAGGTTCCTAAAGCTTGCCCGACTAGATGGAATTGTATGTACGAAAGTTTAGTAGTTGCATATGAATATAGAAACCCAATTAATGCAACGTTTAATTCTCGGGTAGGTGGTGAGGATGATGATGAAATGCTTACTACTCAAGATTGGACGAATGTTAAAATTCTTATAGATTTTTTAGAACATTTTTAAATTGCTACAAATGCATTTTCTGGGCAATATTATCCTACTATTTCAAACTGTTTAGTTTATATATAATTTAGGTCTACCTCATCCCATTTTATCACCTTCATCCATATCTATAATACTAATAAATCTCATCATCCAAACATCCCATGTCCAGAGAACACACAAAGGCACCCTCTAAGAGTCACAATACTACACCCCAACAAATCACGTTTACCAAGCTCATTAGGCGTTGATACCTCCGAGAATTTCTCTCACTTAAATAAAAAGCAACAATTATACAATAAACACTAAAAAGCAACAATTATACATGAACGATCAGAAACAACTATACATGAACAATCAGAAGCTTCAATTATACTTACCATAGAAGTTTTTGTTCTATTTTGGTAGTCTTCAAGGGGTATACTAGTTATCTTTTGGTTTTCCTGTCGTCGTATGTCAAGACAATTTAGCTCTCTTGAGACCTTTTACATACAATGGGTATGTTAGTTTCAGTGCTTAGAACACTTGTTGCTATAAAGGAGAATATCAATACAATACAACAACAACACAGTATAATCCCACTTAGTGGGGTCTGGGGAGGGTAGTGTGTACGCAGACCTTACCCCTACCCTAGGGTAGAGAGACTGTTTCCAAATAGACCCCCGGCATCCTTCCCTCCAAGAACTTACCACCTTACTCTTGGGGAGACTCGAACTCACAACCTCTCGGTTGGAAGTGAGGGTTGCTTACCATCAGAGCAACCCCTCTTGTCTATTTGGATATCAGAATATCAATACAATACACTATTTTTTGTTCATTCGTCTCAGGCTTGTCGCTTAGTTTCACCAATTAATCGCAGTAACAGGCTGTAATGTCTATTATCTATGAAATAAGGAATATGTCTCAACTGTTCCAGCCAAAAGCACGATAAGAGAACTAAGCACAATTGTCTCCGACATGCTAAAACATTGCAAAGCTAAAAATTTGTTTACAGCAATTCAAAGGATCAACTCAATTGAGATGTGAACAATCAACTATCGGAACCAGCTTCTCCTAATGGTGCTATAGTGCCGTCCTTTGTATACTACATAGTATGCGATACCACAAATGCAAGTCTACTTCAAAAATTCTACTTCTATGAAGTGATCTTTCTTGAAAGAGTATCCATTTTATAACATCATAATTACAGAGTAATACTCTTGGAAATAAAATATATTGTTGAGATCCAGGCCTCAGTGACTCTGTCCACAGTTCTCTAACAATCAATTCCATAGAAGCAGACATATCCCTGTCACTGTATAGAACAAGTGTCAAATGGTATTATGTGGCATTACACTTAACAGATAAATGCATATGCTAACCTGTACCCTGAACGCTTGTAGACTACTAGACTACATGTTGCAACTTCAGAAGAACAAATATTAACCAGCAACAATAAAAGCAATGGATTTGGCGAAAGGTGTAGCCTTTATAATACTGCTGAAACTGTTATTTATCATCAGAATTGCAACCACAGTTTTGCTATGCAAATAAAATAGAGTGGCTTTTGAACAATTTACAGGGGTAAAAAATAATCAGTGACAGACCATCCTATCATAGCAAATAAATGAACCAGAAAATAACAACATATTTATGCATCAAGAGTTTTTCAAAAGAGCTTTTTCGAGATTTGGTTATCTTAATAAGATAGAAAATATGTTTAACTATTAACTAGGAGTTATCTGCTTCTTAAGATATAGTTCTAGCCAATATTGAGCTTTAGTCTTTGTAATCATAGATACTGAGAATTACATAATCAAGCAGGGAGTAACATACACTTTTTTTAATATTTAGAGCGGCTAGATAAGACTTCTACCATCAGATTGCTTAAAAACAGTATGCACAAAAGCGGCTACAATACTACATTAGTCCATTGGGAGGTTACTCATGATTCAAAAAAAAATCAAAAGGAGTGGAAACTATTCTTTTCAAGACAATGTATGCCCAAAATGTAACTATTTTTCTCTTAAAGCACCAGCATTATATGATGCTGAATTAATGCAAGCGACGAATCCAAGTTTTTTCCTTTTCAAGTAATACAATATACTTCAGGATTGAAGAATTACCATCACAAAACTATGAGCACGAGAAAATTACCAGTCACCCAATCCTAGGAGGACAAAAGAATTACTTTTCATAAAACTCTGATTTATTTTATTGAATCAAATATGAGGACCTAATTAAAAAAATATAAAATAAAAATGAGTAAGAAATCATGAAAATTTGATGTGTTACCTGAGTAGATCTTCATCTCAAAATATTGCACCAAGGCCAAACATAGGAGAGACAAGACTCTCTATGAAAGTTCTAGTCCTTGGAAACTTAGCTATTATTCCATCAACATTCAAATCTCTCCACAGTTCCTCTTTCTTATTGTAGACAATCAACTTCTCTTCTGCAGCCACATCCAATACAATATCATCATCATTCATCAAACACACAGGGGTGAAACCTGAACCTTGGCTTATAACACTAAATTTGGTCCAAGACGCCGCAACCCCATATTCTTTCATAATCCAAGCATCAATTTTGTATTTTCTAGCCAAGATACTAAGACACCCTCCAAGACCCACCAAATCGTAAAACACGGTTTCGCGGTGGATTATGGGTGGTTTTTGGAGATGGTTTCGCGGCTGTTTTGTCGCTACTGTGGTAGTTCAGGAGATCCGATAGAGGTGAGAAGGAGGTGTTTTAAGGAAGAAATGGCATCTTTCCAGTGGTGGTCAAAGGGTGGAACAGTGGCGGCGACAGATGGTGAAGGTGAGCTTAGCCTGCTACTGCTTTTCGTTTGGATGGGCTTGTTTTACTTGGTAAGTTACAATACTAAGGTAGCGTTTGGACATAAATTTAGTTGAAACTTGAAAAAGTAATTTTTGAAGTAGTTTTAAAAAGTAATTTTTGAAAGTTAAAATTATATTTGGACATATATTTTATTTAAAAAAAAATTGAAATTTTGTAAGTGGGAGAACAAGTTTCATCCAAAATTTACCCTAAACTAGATTTTGGGAATTTGAAAAAAAAATTCAGAAATTTTTTAAAAATAGATCATTAATGTATGAACAAACAATATTTTCAAATAAAATTTAAAAAAATGTTGCCAAAATGTATGGCCAAATGGGGCCTAAATTTTGATTTTTGATTTATTTTTACTTTATTCAAACACTACATAGCTCTAATTTTTAAGGGTGAACAGTGGCTTTTTGTTCCTGAATCGTCTCTGCCCACATTTTTTGCTCTTCACTTTTCTTTTTTCAGGTTTTGCAAAAATTACAAGAAGTTTTTACCCAGCAAATCTTTTCTTTTAACTTGTTTATGTGTTTGGAGAACATTTTGGTTCGAAATGGAAAGAATATTTGAAGTTGAAATTATAATCTTAGTGGGCGTTTGGACATGAGAATTGTAAAATTCCAAAAAAAAGTGATTATTTTTTAAAAACAGCTTTTTGTAGTTTTTTAAATTTTTGAAAAATTTCAAAATTCAATCTTCAAGTGAAAATTGAAAATTTTATGCCAAACACTGGTTTTAAAAAAAATAACTTTTTTTCTGAAAAGTGAAAAAATTCTTATGTCCAAACGGGCTAATAGTGCACTTGAACTTTGTAAAATTACACGGGATACCTTATTTGGTCTATACTCATTTTTTAAATTTTTTTTAACTTGTACCCAATTTTTAAACAACTTCAGCCCCTTTCTCCTCATTCTTCTCCTCCTTCGTTTTCTTCTTCTGTTAACAACCGAAAGGCCTTGGAAAGTTTGATGGTGGTTTTGCAATTTTCGAGGGCGTTTCCGGTGTTGTAATTTTCATAGTCATCTTTGCTTATTACATCCACGCTGCGGCTTGCACCATAGTTGAACTCTGATCATCACCATGCAATTTCAAATTAATAGTTTGGTTTAGTCTAAAGAAAGACTTAATAACAATAATAATTAAGAACTCAAACCCTTAAGCTCTAAAGCTAGAGCTGAATTTCGCCAGTTATGAAACAAAAATTTCAGCTCTAGAGCTGAAGTTTGTCAGTTACAAATAAAAACTTCACCAGTTACAAATAAAAACTTCTACAGCTCTAGAGCTGAAGTTCGTCAGTTACAAAACAAAAACTTCAGCTCTAGAGCTGAAGTTCGCCAGTTACAAACAAAAACTTCAGTCTCATCTACTAGAATGTTGAAGTTTTGTGTGATTGCCTTTGCTACTTCAGCCCCGTATGCTGAAGTTAAGCGAAAAAGTGGGTACGCTTGTAATTTTTTTGCAAAGCGGACACAAGTTAAAACGTGACCCAAAAAGCGGATATAAATGCAAATGTATTTGAAAATTGAAATTGTACTTAACATGAATTTTACTCCAAAAAGTTACCTTTTTAACTAGATATTATTATTATTATTTCATTGAAATAAGTTTTTTAGTATTTGTTAATTTTGAATTTAAGCTAATTTTTGAAACTTAAAAAAAATCATTTGAGGAGTATTTCAAGTGAAATCATAGTTTCGCTCATAAATTTTATTTTTTCTTCCAAGAAAAAATTATTTATGTCTACAAATTATAAGTGAATAATAACGTGGTTAGCTAACACGTGTCTAAAATTTAATAATAGGAAAAGATCAAATTTATTCTTGAATTTTAAGAAATGATCTGGATATGCTCTTTTTACCCATCCCAAACATTCCGCCTATTTTAATCTTTTTAACTGACGAACGACGATAATCAAGACAGACGGCAACAATTGGACAATACTCTCCTTCAAGGTAAATCAATTTTTTAATATTAGAATACGACAAAATCAAAGCATACCATCAATAAATAATTTTAGGCCAACGTAAATACCAGCTATCGGATAAAAAAATTAGAAAATGGATAACGGACAATAGCGTCTAAAGGATTGGGATTTGATAGCTAAGAGGAACATTCTGTCAGAATATCTGAGTGGAGAAAGGAGACGAGGATACAACAGCAACCACCATATCTCAGTCTCGAATAATATTGGGTTTGGAGATACGAATATTCACTTTTTTCTATAAGCTCAATTCACCAAAATAAAATAAGAATAATATTAAAAATAAATTAAAAATATATAAATAATAATAATAATAATAATAATAATAATAATAATAATAATAATAATAATAATAATAATAATAAAGTAATAATATTAAAAGTTATCTAACAAATTTAAAGTATTTTCTTAACTAGTAAGTATCACTTATATGAAGTTTTTTTCTCCCCATTGTGCCTTATCTTTAGCTAAATGTATATTAATTCCAAGGTTTTATAGGTCTTTCGAGATAAATTCCTTCCATACGATTTTAGGTCTATCTCGTCCCCTTTAACACCTTCATTCATCATAGTTTCACACCTACTGACTGGTACATTAGTAGGACGATGCAAGCATGACCAAATTATCTCAAGCGACCTTCTCCCATTTTATCCTTAATACGTGTTACTTGCATCTTCTAACGATTGTGGTAATTTTTAGTTTTATCTAATCTAGCATGACCACATATTCATATCTTAGCATCCGCATATCTACACCACTCATCTTGTGGATATGTTGGATTTTAACAGCGCAACTTATATTTCACTACCATATAAACATTGCCGGTCTTATAGTTGTTCTATAGAGCTTATCTTTCATTTTCCTAGGCATCCTTCTATCACATTATAATACCTTGGTAGCATTTCTCCATTTCAACTACCCAGTATTGATTATATGGTAACATCATCATTTATCATTTCATTCTCTTAAAACGACGAACCTAAATATCTAAATTGTTTATATTTTGGTACCGCAATCCCATCTAGTCTCACATTAACATTGTTCTTCTCATGCTGACTAAAATTGCAGTATATATTCAATCTTAATTCTATTTATTTGTGATGACCCAAAATGTCATCTTCTATTTTAGAATCCGATTCCGTATTCTGAGGCATTAAAAACCTCCTTTTATCTCTTCTCGATTTGCGTGTGTAGTCCGGGAGCGATTTCGGAAAGCCTTTATTTGGAAAAAATTTATGAAATAATAATTTTCGGCTTAAAAAGTGATTTTTGTTGACTTCAGTTTTTGGGTAAACGGACCCGGAGCAGTGATTTGAAGGTTCCGATAGGTCCGTAGTAAAATATGGGACCCAGGCCTACGCTCGGAATCGAATTCCGAGGTCCCAAGCCCGAGAAATAAATTTTTGATGAAAATTGTAAGACTGAAAATCTAAGGAATTAAAGTAATTGATTAATGTTTGATCTCGTTGGTATTGTGTTTGTATTTTGGTTTCGGAGTCCAGTATAGGTTTAATATAATATTTAAATTATGTTTGTGAAATTTGTTGAAAAACGGAGTTTATTTGACGTGATTTGGACCGTGGGTTGAGAAAATAGAAGTTTTGAAACTATCTTGAAAATTTCATGCAAATTGGTACTAAATTCATAGTTCTAGGTGTTATTTTGGCGATTTGATCACGCGAGTAAGTTCATATGATGTTTTAAGACTTGTATGCATGTTTGGTTTGGAGCCCCTAGGGCTCGGGTGAGTTTTGGATAGGCTACAGAGTGATTTGGACTTAAGGAATTTATGGTGGTATGCTTCAGGTCTGCAGGCTATCGTTTTTGAATAGTTGCAGGTATCACATTTGCGATCAGGGGTTCGCAAATGCGGACATTACTTGGAAAATACGAAAAATGGCCTGACCTACTAACATCGCAAATGCGAACAAATGTTCGCAAATGCGGCTTGTTCACAAATAAGGAGTAATAAGGGTGGACATGTGGGATCAGATTGCACGCCGTAACAGGAGGAATATGGCGATATATTGAGGAGTAATAAGGGAAGATTGGTGGGATCGGATTGCACGTCGCAACAAGGAGTAATAAGGGTGAATGTTCATATTGTTACTGAGTATATGATGGGATTAGGATGCGCGCTGCATCATTTTTTATTTATATATATTCATCTTTTGTTGTGATTTTACTATGTAGTATCGTAATTCTCTCTTAAGGATTGGTTATAGCTGAGTACTGGCAAGACATTTGGGTTCCGTATTTACATTGTTGCAAGTTACTGTTCCAATTCATTCTGTACTTCCTTTTTGCTTTATTATATATTGTTGCAGGTTATATTGTACATGCCCCGCCATAGCCTCGTCACTACTTCATCGAGGTTAGGCTCGGCACTTACCAGTACATGGGGTCAGTTGTACTGATACTACACTCTGCACTTTCTGTGCAGATTTTGAAGCTGGTTGTGGCTGATCGAGAGGTCGGTTGCAGGCAATCATCTAAGAGACCCAAGGTAGTCCTGCAGACGTCTGCAGTCCCTGGCGCCCCCTCCCATGTTTTTCTTATTTCTATTTATTTCCTTTCGAGAAAGATGTATTTTCTTCTTTCAAACCCATATTTGTAGTTATTCATAGAATGTTCGTGGGTTGTGACACCAGTTTCTGGGTGGTAATAGTTTTCGATATTTGTTAATAGCGTATGGTTAACTAATAAATTATGTGCTTCCGCATTCATTTAAATTTAATTTAGTTTTATTTATTGTAAGCTATAAAAATGCAAAGGAAAAAGGTAAATAGAACTCTAACGTTGACTTGCCTAGCGAGTGCGATATTAGGCGCCATCACGGTCCCGAGGATGGGAAATTCGGGTTGTGACAAGTTGGTATCAGAGCACTAGGTTGCTTAGGTCTCACAATTCCTGATCAAGCTAGGTAGAGTCTGAGGGATCGATACAGAGACGTCTGTGCTTATCCCCAGAGACTACAGAGTAAGGAATAAATTCACTTCTATTCTTCTTTGTCGTGCGATTTGATCTTTTAGTTCTAATTGAACTTGCTACTCTGTTCCTTTGCA